CCAAAAATAGCTCTGTCAAATGTGAACTCTCTAACTCTAAAAACACCAAAGTTATACCATTTCCGATCAATCAGTTATATGGCAGCTATAGGATAGAGTCGGCCGATCCGGGCCGTTCCGACTTATATACTGCGTGCAAAGGAAAGAAGGGTGTGTGCAAAGGTTCAAGACGATAGCTTCAAAACTGAGAGACTAGTTCGCGTAGAAACGGACAGACAGACGGACAGACGGACATGGTCATATCAACTCAGGAGGTGATCCTGATCAAGAATATATATACTTTATAGGGTCGGAGATGTCTCCTTGACTGCGTTGCACACTTTTGGACAAAATTATAATACCCTCTGCAAGGGTATAATATCGGATATAGTTGACCGATCCTTATGAGAATATCATAATATAATCAATTTTTCCCTCGCAGGATTCCTTGCCCGTGCGGCATCACAAGCAGCCCCAACGGCTCAAGTGGATAGGGTAGTCAGTTACTGGCCTATCGCATCGCCGCCTTAACATAACCTTCATCTTTTAAGCGTTTTCTCATGAAAAAAAAATATTATTGTTAATAATATTGTTAATAATATAGAAAATAATTGTAAAAGCTTGCTAAAGTGTAGTTAGCAAGATCAAAATGCTTCCTCAACCTATTCCTCAACCTTCCTATTTTTGAGTAAGAGGGGGACATCTGAGTAACAGGGCGAAAAAAACGGATTTTCTAGAATTTTTTTTGGTCAAATGAAAAAGCCTATCGAAAATTTGTAAATTGGGTTTTATAATAATAAATGCGAAGTACAAAATTCCAAATAAATTGAAAACAAAATGGCGGCTGTGCAGCATTTCTTCGTAGGCCTTTTTTTTGAAGGGGGTTCATGGCCGGACAGCTAACGTCCCTAATGTTTGATGTACATCAACAGCTATCGAAACACGTTAAATTTTTGCGATATGTTGATTTTTTACAAAATGGCGGATGATTGATAAATAGTTAAAATTTTCACAAAAAAAAACGTCACAAAATGGTCATTGTGTCTCGGCACAATGGAAAATTTTGTCACTTAGATACTTTTGCCGGACTCTATCTTAGGTTATGTTATTTTTAAGACCCTAAAGAATTTTTTAATCGAAAAACAATTTTTTGTTTTTTTTTAAATGTTACTCAAATGTCCCCCCTTAAGTTTGTGGGAGACACCCGGCCTTGTCTTGTCCGAGCGTACTTCTCATATGCGTGCATAAGATCCCTATCTCTCTTTCGTCCATGGTCTGCATCTTCTTAATAAAAATGCATTAGCCGCCAAGCACCAGGAGTCGGCACATCTCCTAAGCTCATCGTGCCGCTCAGACCTCCATTTGCACATGCGCAAAGCTTGAATTCAAGACCGCAGCGGCATGAAATGCGAAACCGACCGTTATCAATGCGTTAGATGCGTTATCGACCGAAAACCGCTGCAGTTATAATGAAATATAAAAGAATTCATAACTGACATATAATTTGAATTATTATAAGAGCTATGGAGAATCTGCTGCTGATGCAAGGTTAAACAGACGTATTATTATTAATTTAAAGATTCATTTCACTTAATTAAAAAAATCCGTCTCGTTTCGTTTGTGCTGTTATATTTGGAGATGAATCAACAGATATTTTAATTTTAATCCAAGCGTAGCTTTGCTCTCCTTTTTCCCCCTTTTCTGTGTTGCGACTATTTTTATACCCTTGCAGAGGGTATTATAATTTTGTCCAAAAGTGTGCAACGCAGTGAAGGAGACATCTCCGACCCTATAAAGTATATATATTCTTCATCAGGATCACCTCCTGAGTTGATATGAGCATGTCCGTCTGTCCGTCTGTCTGTCCGTCTGTCTGTATTTTTTGGCAAAACATTACGACATGCAAAATTTTATAAGGATCGGCCGACTATATACTATAGCTGCCATATAACTGAACGATCGGAAATGACCCAACTTTTGTGTTTTTGAAGATAGAAGTTTGCGACATTTTTATATTTTATATTATAATAAATTGGGTTATATTATCATATTCTTATATTTGGCATGTCGTAATGGTTTGCCAAAAACAGTTTTCGTGTCAAATTTGAACTCTCTAACTCTAAAAACACCAAAGTTATACCATTTCCGATCAATCAATTATATGGCAGCTATAGGATATAGTCGGCCGATCCCAGCCGTTCCGACTTATATACTGCGTGCAAAGGAAAGAAGGGTGTGTGCAAAGTTTCAAGACGATAGCTTCAAAACTGAGAGACTAGTTCGCGTAGAAACGGACAGACAGACGGACAGACGGACAGACGGACATGCTCATATCAACTCAGGAGGTGATCCTGATCAAGAATATATATACTTTATAGGGTCGGAGATGTCTCCTTCACTGCGTTGCACACTTTTGGACAAAATTATAATACCCTCTGCAAGGGTATAAAAATATACTTGGCGCACCGTACTGATGTTCGCTATGATTTGTTCACCGAGTTTTTGGCCAGTTTACCTAGAAAACATTTTCGTTCAAGAGAATCAGACATGTACCGTGAAGAAAAAAAATTGACAACCCAGGTAATTTCCCTTGGCTTGTCATTTTTTTTTCTTCACGGTACAACTCTCACATGTTAGAAGGTTGGCACTGACCAACCATCCACCTCTTCTTCTTCCAAAACTTCAAAGAATTAATTTCGTCACTAACTATAACCCACCAGAATCATAGCTCGCAAATAACGGCGATTTGGACGGCGACCGATTGCTGGGGTCTCAAAAAAAGTTTTGCTTGATAAGTTTTTGATCAAAAAGTCTGAAAGCAACCGTTTGCTTTAATCGTATAAAAATTTTGCTCTCGCTCAAATGACGAGCAATATTTTCTGTTCCCAATTGCTCTGTTCTTTCCAGGACCGTTTGACTTTATGAGGCGATTCAAAAAGTCTTGTTTTCATTTGCCTGTGTTACGTTTGGATATTCAGAATAAATAATAAAAACGGTAGGCTGAACTTTAAATAAATATAATAGAAAATAAATGATAAAAAAAAAATATTTTTTCATTCAAAGGTCTCTGTGCGAACGTCAATCATATCTCTCAGTGAGTGATGTTCAGTAGGCGAGCATTCCACAAATGTCTCAACGTAAAACACTCAACCGAAAACGAAAGTCAAAAGAAAGGAAGTCTCTTGCTCTGAGAGGGAGTGATTGTCAAATTTTTTTCGGTTTTTCTCATAAACTGAACATAAGGAAAAAATAGGTTAACAGTTATTTGTGAGCTATGACCAGAATACTAGAAAATTCCTAAAACTGCATTCTGGTGGGTCTTTCTTGCCCTTTTAATTTTTAGTATTTAAAGCAGGGGTGCCCAGTTCCATTGCTCTCGGTGCTCCTTTGTTGTTGGTATTGCTCTTTCATATGGGAAATAAAACTTCATATAAGTGTGTTGCTCCCAATTTTTCATGTTTCCTTATTGTCCTCAATCGTGCTAATCCAAATGCATTTTGTTCTTTGAGTGCCAAAAACTTTTCCCTGAAAAAAAAATTCATTCTTGTTTTTGTTTCTGCCAAAATGGTCGACCTGAAGCGATAAATTTCTTCTTCGCAGAACTTTTTTTTTTTGTAGGTAAGAAGCTTCGCATTTTAATACCCTTGCAGAGGGTATTATAATTTTGTCCAAAAGTGTGCAAAGCAGTGAAGGAGACATCTAAAGTATATATTCTTGATCAGGATCACCTCCTGAGTTGATATAAGCATGTCCGTCTGTCAGTTTCTACGCAAACTAGTTTCCCAGTATTAAAGCTATCGACTTGAAACTTTGCACACACCCTTCTTTCCTTTGCACGCAGTATATAAGTCCGAACCGCCGGGATCGGCTGTATCCTATAGCTGCCATATAACTGATTGATCGGAAATGCTATAACTCTGGTGTTTTTAGAGTTAAAGAGTTGTTTTGTATTATGTACGGATTATGTACGAATGCTATTTTTGAAATAATTGATTTGAAATTATACGATCCACCAAATTTCATAAAGATCGGCCAACTATATCCTATAACTGAACAATCGGAATTGACGCAACTTTCCTGTTTTTGAAAATAAAAGGTTGGAATTTCGTACAGATTTTTTGTCAGTCCGATTATATCGGTTGACTATATCTTATAGCTACTATATAACTGCACGATCGGAAATGGTATTTGGTAAAAATACGAACTTTTGTATTTATGACGATAGAAGTTTGGGACTTTTTTTAGCATTGGCATTGAAGTTTGCTCTGTCGTATGCTGAGCTTGGGAACCCCTGATTTAAAGTAACTTGGCTAAAGCAAAAGATCTGTAGCTCCAAAGTTTCTCGTCATAAGTGGTAAACCAAAAAAGTAGTCCGAGGTACACCACTTTTAGGTGTGATCGACCTCTGCGAAGGAGGAGGAGTCCTCAATTCGGTAGACTTCAATTTTGCTTCTGAAGAAGTAAAATCACAAATCACAAAGATTTATCGTATTTACCACTTGTCATGCACCGGGACTTCACCGCGTGTATGTTTGACATGTCAGTCGGTCCAATTAACCATATAAAAACTTGTGTTTGGACTTGTGTTTCGTTTTTGATCCAGATGGAATTACGCTTTTCAGTACTCACAAGATTACAATCAAAACCAATACTCTCAACATTTTGAATTAGTCACTAAAATATAAATTATTTAAATTTAAATAGTATCCATAGAAAGTCCATTCCTTGCAACTTCAAAAACACCAGAGTATGACATTTCCAATCAATTACTTATCGATAAAGTCGATAGCTATGAAGTCAATAGGTTTGAAACTGAGATTCGGTAGAAACATGTAAAAAAAAGTACGCCCAAAAACAATGTAATTATTATACCTCTTTTTAAATTAATACTGCTAAATCTTAATATTGCAAGGTCTCGTGCACTGCTGGAATCCCAAGCTATTCAAATTTTTTTACGATTTTTTTTACAAACCAAAAAAAAAAAAAGACTTATATTCTTAAAATTTTTTTTCTTTTCAAAGATAAATATGGTTTCAGGTAAAATAAAATCAACAGACTCATATCAACTTAACGAATCTGGATTTATATTTGTTCGTCGTTGCATTGAAGTATTAGAAAGTCGGGGTCTGGAAGATGAAGGCATTTACCGAAAAAGTGGTGTCGGAACAAAAATCAGCAAACTTTTAACAATGGGATTAAATATAAGTGAAACGGAAGATATATTTACGGATGAGAAATACAGCGATTTAATAGAAAGCAACACTATAGCGAGTGCTCTTAAAATGTATCTTCGAAATTTAAGTGAGCCGTTAATGACGTACCGTTATCACAATGACTTCATTGAATCAGCAAGTTGGTACCAAATCACTCTCCATTTTATTAAAACATAATTAAAACCCTATTTATATTACAGAAATAGAAACCCAGAACCAACGCATTAATGAAGTTCACAAGCTAGTCCACAAGTTACCACATATTAATTTTGAGATGCTAGATTTGGTTATTTTCCATTTAACCGAGTAAGTATATGCAAATATATATTTATTGGCTTAATTGAAAGCATATTTTTTTATATACAGAGATGCTACACAAAACATTTTCACTCAATTTTCGCTTTAATTTTACTTTACGGTGCCACACATGCTTTTTTGAGTTTGAAATAACACCGACTATCTTGCTTGTTTTTGCTAAAATCATTCATGTCGATTAAGTTCGATACAAATCGTATCGAAAGTCGTATCAAAGTTCGATTAAGTTCGTCCGCCATATTGAATCCGCCATATTAAATTTGGAAAATCTGACTTTAGATTCGTAATCAGCGACCCCAAAAACCCCTAAGTACCCAGTTTCATGAAAATCCAAAAATTGTTCAAAAATTCGTCCGCCATATTGGATCCGCCATATTGAATTTTGAAAATCTGACTTCAAATTCGTAATCAGCGACCACAAAAACCCCTGGGTACCCAGTTTCATGAAAATCCAATAAATTAAAAATAAAGTCGCATACCTCCAAAAATGTAAAACTTTTTTTGAGGTTAGGAAGAAACGTACACGTGCAGGACCAAAACGGACTTCAGATTCGTGTTCAGCGGTCCAAAATACATGGGGATAGGGTACTCTGATCTCCCAACCCGGACACTTTTTTTTTTTGTGTGGCTGTGTAACACATTCCCTGAACTTCATTGGTAAAATTAAGATTTTTGCAAAACACTAGTGAAATCACTTGCCTTTTATACAATAGGACAATAATCTTAAAATTATAAAACTGATTTTGATTTACGGTGATGCGACGTTTTTTTCGGAATTCGGAGTACATATTTAAAAATAAAATTTATTGAATAAAGCCCAAATTTATTTTTATCTCTTTATTATAAATTTAATTTTGCATAGAATGGGATATAAATTTTAAAAATTTTTTTTTTAATTTAAAATTTTTTTAAAAATATTTTTGTGTTAAATACACCATTAAATATTACAAATTAATAACAAGCCAAAGAAAGAAATTTGATTGTGCATCCTGGCAGTTTGTCTAGGCTAAACCACTCGGAATTGTGTGTCAGGGAAAAATGTTTTTAGTGAGTTGGAGCTTGACATTTCATTAAATCACTAGTGTTTTGTGTGACACGCTGATACATTTAGATAGTTTAGATTTATATATTTCAAAACAAACACAAATAAGCCCTTCGGGGGGCTTCCGAGGAAATTAGAATCTCGCTCCTGTCAACGTTTTACCAATTGCACAACCTATGTACATATGTATACCTTATATTTTTGGTCAAAAGTGTGCAAAACCGTGAAGAACACATCTCAGAGCCTATAAAGTATGACACATATGCCTCGGTCTGACTGTTTCTACACGAACTTGTTTTAAAGCAGTATATAAAACGAAACGGCCGGGATCGGCCGACTATATCCTTTAGCTTCCATATAACTGAACTATCGGAATTTTGGTGTTTTTTAAAATAAAAGGTAGAACCTGTGTACAAAGTCCATTTTTGGCAAATGATTCTGTTTACTAAATTTCATAAAGAGCAGTGGACTATGTTATGTCATATAGCTAGTACTTTTAAAGAAAGAAATTTCAGATTTTTTTTTAAATTTATTATAAGAAATTGGTTTTTAATAAAATTCTCCTAAGGATTGGCCATTCACATATATTCGATATCGGCGATGATTTATAAATATGATCTCAACTGTAAGGGCCAGGGCCGTAGCTAGCATGGGGCAGGTGGGGCGGTGCCCCAGGGCCCCCGAAGGGAAGGGGCCCTGCCGGGATTACAATAGTCTAACAAAATAAAAAAATTCTACATTTTTTACAGTTTTACTAGATAATATACAAAACAGGTTTTCGCTTTAGTTCAACATATCTCATTTGGTAAATACCATTAAAAACGCCGCTTTCTCCCTTTGCAAGCCGCAAATTCGTCGATGGCTTGGCTGAAATCCATCTTTCTTGCTCGCTCATTTTCAATCTCTTGCCCCATAGAGCTTCTCAAATAATTTTTAATCAATTTCAATTTCGAAAAATATCTTTCCGCCGTTGCAACTGTGACAGGAAGTGTCAGAAACATCATACAAGCAGTGCATACATCAGAGTAACTTGACGTTAAGGAACTGTTTTCAATAATGATCATTTCAGCTAGTTGTTTCACACTATCAATCAGACCGATTTTTTTTCTGAACGCTGAACGCAACGAGAGTAATTGCGATGGAAATGTGGAAGAAATGTGATCACGGAAATTTTTCATGAATTTTTCGGCTTCTAACGAAATTTCCTTGTCAGTGGCATTAATTATGAATTTTGGTTGAACAATTTTGTAGACATCCAGAACAGATTTCATACCTTCAAATCGCTACTTCAATTGGAAACAAATTATGTCCACCAAAGGATAAAAAACAGTTTTTTATCCAAACACTGCGAAGTTTTCCTTGGAATTCGAAAGTTTTTCGTCTACACATAGTTCATCAAAATGTTTTTTCCGTTTTCTGCGCACTTTTTTTTCTGGAAACTGTAAAGGGATGCCAAGTTTTGAACATAAATCGCATGCTTCCTTTAAAAATTTTTCGAATGATTGCCGCATAGAAGAACCTTCAATGTGTGGATTTTCCATTAACTCATGTGCTTTCATCAAATCTGTCGTTTCTGTTTGAAGAGCTTTTGATACAATATTAATTTTTTCCAAAACTTTGCACAAAATAACCAAGCAACAAACAAAATCCAGTGATTTAACACGTTTTTGAAGTCCCAACGCTTCGTTTCTTTCGCTAGAAGTTTTACTATTCAAAACAATACGTGACAAATTGTTCTTAATATCAGGCAATCTTTTCTTCAGCGCGTAAATCGAGTCATGAGTTCCTGAAAAACGTGTGGGATTCAATGTTTTTGTGGTTGTTTTGGAGACATTTTTTTCTTCTGTAGGTGTTTGCAAATTGCCATCGTACAATACTGTTGCCGAAAAAATTGTAAATATCTTGTACAATATCATAGAAACGAGCGATTTCTGAATTTTCGCGAACAGCATCTTTTAACACAAGATTCAAATTGTGAGCGGCGCAATAAACGAACAAAGAATGAGGTGCTACTTTAGTGATTTTTTTTTGAACGCCTCCTAAACGTCCACTCATAACGGCTGCGCCTTTTTGCTTAATCGATGATATGATGAGGTTTGAAAGGCCGTCAGCAGATTGATCTCTTACTTCAGTGAAAGATGTAAAAGTTTCAAAAATTTCTAATTTGGACGGTTTTCCTCTCTCATCAGACACAATTTTAACATAACGAAAAACTTCGCTCAATTGATCTATCTTGCTACTATATTGACTTGTGTCCATAATCACCGAGAAAAAAAGAGCTTCTTGCAACTCAGAAACAATGGAATCATTAACTTGTTTAGCAAGAAGAGCAATGAGTTCATTTTAAATACAAGGGCTCAAGTATGTTACGGATTGATCAGGCATCTCCAATAGATTTTTCAAGACAGGGTCGTATTTTGCTAATAATTCTATTACAGACAAGAAATTTCCCTTATTACTATCTGAGAATTTGTGACTTTGTCCTCGAAAAGCTAAATTGCACGTGGCAAGCATTAAGGTGACATCTAAAACTCTTTCGAGTATCTTGCGCCAAAAATTATGATTTTTCTTCAAATCCTCTTCAAGAACCTCATCCAATGTACCGTGTTTTTGCCATTGCTCGTAAACAACGCTCGTAAAAATTTTTCGAGAAAAGGCGTCCGTCCTGTTTTTCATCTTTTGGGAAAGGACCCGGAGGTTGTTTTGGGCCAGACGAAATAATAGCGTGTTTGATGATTGGGTCCGTAATGACGTCAGGAAAAGTGTTCCCTGTGTTTGCACTGATAGGAGGAAGTGAATCTGTTTTTGTTATAGCGCTCGCGCTACTCGCATCGAACGAAGGAACCTCGCAATCTTTTTCATTTTGGGATGATTCTGGCAGTGGTTGTGGTTCTGTGGCCAATGGATAAGAATTCCGTATAAAGAATTAATTTTATATTGTCTGCCTGGATCATTCATAATTTATGAAATATTTTAATTATTTCTTTATTCCAACGGGATTATTTTGGGATGAATTATAGGATAAATTGATTGATTATTTCAATTCATATACCTTGAACAGTTCCCGTATCAAGAGACGATGCAGGCATGGATGATAACCACTTAACGAATTTCCCGGAAATCTTTTTTGCTTCATTCTCTTTCTTTAATTTTGCCCCTCTTTTTTTCGCTCCGCTGGGATAAATACGTTTCATCGCGCAAGTTAATAATTATATAATTGTAAGCAGAATAATTATGCAATTGTCCTATCCTATTGTTTGTCAATAGCACCTCAATTGAGCAGCTGATTCGCGTCAATCGAGGTATCGAACAGTGTTCGCGACCACTATACGCGCGGCAAATTCAAACGTTTCACACATAGACAACCCTAAGCGTACTTTAAAATTTGACAAAAGACTTCCGTATAGGGGGCCCCAAATTTACTTGTTGCCCCTGGCCCCCGAGGCTCTAGCTACGGCCCTGGTAAGGGCATATAAATTTTGGATCCGAAGGTGGCTTTGACCAATTTGCCCAGGCATAATAAATGTTGCGGATTTTCGAAATTTTTAGAACCGCCGCAGCTTAATTGCCCGTGTTGATCGCTGTTGATCCCCGTGAATAAACGCTGTTTCGCCCAATTCGATCTTGTTAGTGTTAACAGACATAACTCGGCAGCATAACCTTTACTAGCAAGAGCTAACAGTTGACAAGAACTAAATTACTAGGAATTAAAATAATTTACGATTCATAATCATCCGCTTCCCTCGAGTGTCAAATCATAAAAGAATGTGGTTACTGACTGATTTAACAAAGATATTGTGTAGGGGGCGTGGTTCCGCAAAAAGATTCCAGAAAAATTAGAAGTGTTGAATTGAAAATCGGGGGCGTCTTTTTGTAGGTATAACGCGGTCAGCTTTATTGGGCTGCTTACATGAGATTGATCTTAAAAACTAGTGAAAAAAAAAGATCG